CGGCCCGGCCCCACTGAGCCCGCGCCGCCCCGGGCCCGGGCCCGGCTCCGGCCCCGGCATGTCTGCGGCCGCCTCGGCGGATATGATCGAGACTCCCCCGGTGCTCAACTTCGAGGAGATCGACTACAAGGAGATGACCGTGGAGGAGGTGCGGGCCGGACTGGACTGGGCTGGGCCGGGTGGGGGGCCCGCGGGGAAGGGGCGCGCTGGGCGCGAGCTCTGGGGACTCAGCCCCTTGCAGCTGTCCCTGGACGGCCTCCTGCTTTCGCGCGTCTGGGCTAGAGGGAGCGGGTTGGGGAGAGCCTGAGAGGCCCCAGCAGGGCAGGGCAGAGCAGGCAGGTGTCAAGGTGCGTGGCCTAAATGCCCTGATGGGGGGCTGGGGGAGAAGTGGAGTAAAGGAGGACACCCCAAGTGAGACAGGCCTACGCCAGGCCCCTGGACAGCCGTCCCATTCCTGGGGATAGGGTTGACTTCACTAGACTCCCGCAGGTTCCCCAAAAGGAGCGATTCTCAACCAGGGAGAGCCATGGGCGATATGCTAGAGCCCTGGCTTTCGGCCTCTTCTCATTTGTGGACCCCTAAAAAATTTGACTGGAGGTGCAGAGCCCCACAATTTTAAGTGGGGGTATTCAGACACTGTTGATAGATCGTAGCGCTCATTCACCAACCTGTTAGACAGTCTGCAGACCGCCAGGTGTTCATGGACCACAGGTTGGAAACCGCTGTTGTGTGTGTGTGTGTGAGAGAGAGAGAGAGAGAGAGAGAGGTGAGTATATGCTATATAGAGTATACAGGTTTTCTTTGCTTTATGCATGTTCTGTATGTGCAAATTCTCCTACACGATCCTTTTTATACCAAAAATTTGTTATATGGAAGGTAAATTCACTTCTATGCAATTGGTGTGGTGGAAGTGTGCAGTTATCTGCTTTGTGCAGTGCTTTGTGAGAGTGACGCGCACCAAAATATAGTCTTCTCTGTGGATCTGTGCTCCTTGCTTGTCTGAGATATGTTTCTGTAGTTGCTATCCCCATTATGGTAACATTCACTACTGCCCTGTGCTGTTGGTGAGTACCACAGTTGTCTTGTAGAAGTGGTAGAAATGGGTCTGGGGGTCAGTACAGTCAAGGTCTTGGAACGTATCCCTATTTGTTACATTTTATAAGTAATTGAGTTACATGCTGTTTTCCAGGAATGCATGTACAGCCTAAAGCGAAGGAAACCTGTGGTAGTGTATACAGCATGCATATACCATACACCATACATTACGTGCATTTGGGATGTAAATACTGATTTAAAAAATATCCGTTTAATCTGTTGTAATTACAATGGTTACACAATTACTTGGTATGGTAACCCCTAGCCTGCTTGTGGACAGCAGTGGTGTGGGGGGGTTAGGGGGGACTAGTACCTAATAGCTAAGCTGTATGGACCCCAGTACACTGGCTTGCAACCTTCTTGCTGCCTGCCATGAGCAGCTTGGGCTCTTAGACAGGCAGCAGGGGCCTGCCCAGGGCCTGGGCTGCTTGTGGCAGGCAGTGGGGAGGCTGCAAGCAGCTGCACTGGGGTCCACAGAGCATAGCTGTAGATATTAGGCCCTTCACCCTGCCACCTTTCCATACCTTTGGAGCCCCCTGCTTCTCCCTTCCCTGCCAAGCCTTGGCTCGCCATTTGCTAAACAATAAACAGTAAGCTGTAACCTGCCATCACTGGGTTTATCCATTAAATGATTAATCATTTAATTCTTTATGTCCCTACTTTGTACCAAGCCTGATGCTGCTTTTGTCAGACTCGATGGAACCTTACTTGGAGAGTCTTCATGACTAAGATGTGTAGTCCTGGTGGTATTCTTAACCCCAAATACTGCAGCTGCTTGTTTCGTGCTGTTATTTCATAAACTGGCTACAAACAGGGAGTAACCGTTTTTGTTCAAGGACCGTGGAATACATGGGGAAGGGAGTGGGGAATGGGGGGTGTGGAAATCCCAATGATCTCTGGTGCTTAGGTAGGTAAACCTCCCTGACTTTAAACCACCTAGTAGGGATAAAAATTATCCATTTCATCTTCTCTAATTATGTTGATTAAATGGTTAAGCAATATTACATAGCTAGTCCCCGCCAGGGCATGTGGACCCCAGGCTGGTGCCTGTCCCATCCCATTACAAGGAAGGGGCTGCAGCTGCCTGCCCAGAGCACCATGGGGAGTTGTAGGCTGTGCACAAACCCACTCAGATACAGGTACTGCTGGGAGCTGCTCCCTGGGAGGGGGAGGAGGAGTCTGTGGCAAGCCCTACCAGACAACGCAGCCTACATGAAGCCATGGGTGGCAGCAGCAGGTGAGGGGTTTTCATGCCAGTGCACTGGAAAGGAGGCGTATTATGGGTATGGGTATTAGTCCCCCCTCATCCCTCCCTCCTCCCTGCCCTGCCACCTTCCTGTTTCTGACACACTGCGCCACTTCCCTTCCCCAGTGGACTGCACCCTGTGCTAAACATTAACTGGTAATGCATTACCAGTATAAGTATACTTATCGTTTAAACATTTAACTTTTCACATTCCTAACATACATGTATAATATAATATATAGTATGGTTACGTTAATAGTATAATATATACTAAACAGATATGCTTTTCATCCTATAGAGTCATTAATCATATGCTATACATACATATCATGCATAGGTAATATATACAGTAAAATCTTTGTTATCTGGCATCCCCGGAGTAAGGGGATTGTTGGTTATGTAAAAATTCTGGTTGTCTGAAATAGCCAGGCAGGGGTTTTCAAATAATGCAGGGGGGGGGAAGGAAGGTTGTAACAGCAGCTGCATGTAGAACAGTGGCAGCAAAGGGTGGTGAGTGGCGGCAGTGACCGCTGCATGTGAGCTTCCCCGCCTCCACCCCTGTGGCTGGCTGGCCGGCCAGCCAGCCAGCCGGAAATTCCAGTTAATAGAATTTCTGGTTACTTAAATGCCGGATAACAAATATTTTACTGTAGTATAATGCAGAGCTAGGCAAACCCTAGCACGGCTGCCAGAGTGTGGCATTCGAAGACATTTTGCTTCTTGCTTGTGTCTCGGGGCAAATGGCAGGGAAGGGGCCAGGGCTGCACTCCCACAGCAAGGATTGGGCCCCTCATGGCTCCCACACCATCCGCCCTGGTGCGCCAGCATCTTAAAAGTCAAGGTCGTGGATCATACTCTGCCCAAAAACGTTGCTGACACCTGGTATCACACACATTATATGTATGCGTATATATGCTATACATACATATACCATATGATGAATGATTCTATAAGGTGAAAATCATATGTCTATGCTATGTATATGATTAATGAGTTTATAAGGTGCACATTTACCCTGCCTTTTTTCTTATGAATCATGCAGGTGTCTGCACACCTAATACTGCATGACAACTTGTGGCACCTTTAAAAGGATCTGGTAGCATGCCACAGCACCCTGGTTTAGGGGATTGCTGCTCAGCACCCTGGTTTAGGGGATTGCTGCTTTAGGGGAACTTTAACAGAGGCTAATACAGCTGTATTTCAGTTAGACTTTATCACAGGGAAATGGAGGAGGATTGTTCAGCTCCATTTAATGCACCCATTGAGTGTTTAACTTTGAGTGTCCTTGTTCTTTTCTCCGCTTCTCTTCCTAATACTGGTGTTATTAGGGTATTTAGGTGCTACATGTTATCTTTGCCTCTTAGGGCTATTGTATTGTATATGGGTATACATTCATGAAATGGGGCCTCTCTCTTTTGATTAAAGTGAAACTACAATTCAGTGTCTGTGGTGCTTACATGAATATTGCATTTGTGATCTGTACTGCATCTTTGTTATCTGATTGTGTAGGAAGTGACACTTATTTTTCCATTTAGGTTAGTGGAAAACGTTTTTCCTCAAACTGTTATGTTGGGAGCTTAGTTGTAAAGGAATTACCTTGAATTCCTTTGATTTTGGAAAGTAATTGATAGAGAGGTTCCTGATGGTGTATTTGAGACCAGTTTGGATTTTCTGGTGATGTAGAGTGGACTAGATACTTTGCTAAAAGGTTTGTTGTAGCATCATGCTTGCTAAGGCCCTGTTACTTCAAGGTGTTCCATGAAGGTAGACCCCGTCTGCTCTACTCGTGTGAAGCCTTTGTTAAAATAACATTGTTCCATATCGGAAACATGCAAATAATTGTGCTTAGACAGCATGGATCCATAGTGTAGTCTGTCCTTGGTCACATGGTGCAGCTTTATTCTAGGCATTGTGGAGGTCTGAAGAACCATGGCTGTTTTGATGTCATCCTCGCTTAACCTGGTTACATCTTGGTCATTTCCATTTCAGAGGAGGTTGGATCCTAAAGGGCATCCCAGGCAGACCTTCCACTACCTTCAATGGGATTTACATATACAAAGCAACTAGCGAAATCTGAACCTAACAGACTTTGGATCTGATAGGGTTCTTTCTGTCTCTGTGCTTGTAGTTCCTTATGCTTGTTCCTTCGGGTGTAATAAGATCTTAACCTCTTCTACTAAACATAATAATTATATGGAAGTGAATTTAGTTTTATGTAGCAGCTAATTAGCATCTCAACTATAAAAAAAAAAATAATTTGCTAAACACTGACAGTTTGTATGGGGAGAAAAATTCAGTGAGTCTAAACAATCATAGTGTTTATAAAGTTAGGTTGAGAGGAAATCTCTATGGTATCTTCTGCTCTGTTCAAAAAGTCACGGTTACTTAAACTTCTACACTGACATACTGGAATCCTGTAGATGATAACTTTGGCTTAATCGCTCTTCCAGAGGATTTCCTTTTTCCCTTTCTATAAACAAACAAATCATGATTTTACTTTTCTCCTAGTACAATATACACATTCCTCTTCCTCTGCCTCATTCACTTGTTGAGGAATTGGAAATACTTTTGCATTTGATGTAAACTGAAATTGTATGTTGCCCATGGTCAGTGGTACCAAGTAACCAAGCAGTAGATAACTCATTTTTATCTAGTTCTTACCCCACGAGGAATATAAAATTCATGGGGAATTTAGAAATTAAATCAAAGTTATGGCATATAGAAGCGAGTATGTATAACGCACGTAATATATCACAGTTAGTAGTTTCAACAAGTAAAATGTTACATGAATATCTTCACAGTAATGT